AGTGAATATAAATGCAGAGAATTCGTAGTTTGGAAGTTAGGAGGAGGTGAGGCGGGAATACCCAAAACTGTTGTCCAGAGGGCTGAGGAAGGGTTTGTTGAGGTGGTTCGGACATGTAGTGAGAATGGTTAGAGACGCGAAACCAGAATGACTTCAAGAGTGTTACAGTCTGTTAGTGGAAGGAAGGGAGGGTAGGGTCGGCCTAGGAAGGGTTGGAGGGATGGGGTTATAAGGAGTTTTGGTCATGTGCGGAGGGGCTTGGCTTCCAGCAGGCATGCAGTGAGCTTGTGGTTTGATAGGAGTGAAATGGAGACAAATGGTTTTAATACTGAGTGCTGTTGGATGTGAGCAAGTAACATTTATGAAGGGATACAGGGAAAAACGGGCAGGCCGGACTTGAGTCTGGGAGATGGGACAGTACAGTGCTGCACTCTGAAGTGAGGGGGTGTTAATGTTGCAGAGTTTAAAAACTGTAGTGGTAAAGCACCCTTCTGGCAAAGACAGTGATGGAGTGAATGTGGTGGAAAGTTTTTTTTTTGGGCCACCCTGCCTTGGGGGAATCGGACCCGGTGTGATAAAAAAAAAAAAAAAAAAAAAAAAAAAAATAAAAAAAAAATAAAAATTATATATTTTTATATATATATATATTATATATATATAATATATATAGATATATATATATATTTTTTTTTTTTGTTTTATTTTTCAACAAGTCGGTAGTTCTCCCACCGAGGCACGGGGTGACCCAAAAAAGAAAGAAAATCCCATAAAAGAAAATCTTTCATATCATCAACACTTTCACCACCACTCACACATTATCATTGCTTTTGCAGAGGGTGCTCAGAATAACAACCAGTTTAGATAGCAATATACGTATAGAGATACACAACATATCCCTCCAAATGCAAATATCCCATAACCCCCCTCCTTTAAGGTTGGAGGCATTGTACTTCCCATTTCCAGGATCAAGTCCGACTATATGAAAATTAACCGGTGATTTTCCTGAATCCCTATCACTAAATATTACCTGCTCACACTCCAAAAGATCGTCAGGGTCCAAGTATCATTCGTCTCAATTCATCCTATCTAACTCGCTCATGCACGCTTGCTGTAAGTCAAGCCCCCTCCACCCACAAAAACCTCTTTACCCCCTATTTCCAACCAAACCAAAATCGTGTTTCAAACAAATTGAAGTCCCAACTTGGGGGGGGGGGGTAATAGGGTTACATTTCCTGGGACCCCCCTAAATGACCAACAGTATTTTTTTTTAGATCTCCAAATCTTACAAAAGAAAAAAAATGATAAATTAATTATTGTTCATTGTAAATGATGTATTACATTTTTTTTTTACTGTAGGCTACAAATTGCTTAGAAGAATGTATATGTCTTACCTTAATAATTGTCCTAGGCTGTAGGTTGGTAGACAGCAACCGCCCAGGAGGTACTACGTCCTGCCAAGTGAGTGTAAAATGAGAAGCCAGTCAATTGTTTTACATGATGGTTAGGATTGCTGGTGTCTTTTTTTTGTCTAGTACCACATGCAAGATTTTAGGTAGTCTTGCTACTTATAACTTACACTTAGGTCACACTACACATACATGTACAAGCATATATATACACCACTCCTCTTCTGGGTTTTCCTTTCTATTTTCTTTCTAATTCTGTTCGTGTTTATTTCCTTTATCTCTGGGGAAGTGGAACAGAATTCTTCTCTATAAGCCATGTGTGGTCGTAAGAGGCGACTAAAATGCCGGGAGCAAGGGGTCTTGTAACACTTCTCCTGTATATACAAAATTACAAGGCGAAGAAACTTCAGTTTTTTTCTTTTGGCCACCCCCACTCGGTGGGAGGTATACGGTGCGTACGTTGAAGAAGAAGAATATATATATATACAGTGGACCCCCGCATAACGATCCCTCCAATGGACCAATTATGTAAGTGTATTTATGTATGTGCGTTTGTAGTGTATGTTTGGGGGTCTGAAATGGACTAATCTACTTCACAATATTCTTATGGGAATAAATTCGGTCCGTACTGGCCCTGAACATACTTCTGGAGTGAAAAAATATCGTTAACGGGGGTCCACTGTATATATATATTATATATATATATATATTATTATATAAGTAGTAGGTGGTAGACAGCAACCGCCAGGGAGTACTACCGTTTCCCCTGCCAAGTGTGTGCAAACGAAGCCTGTAAATTAGTTTTAATGATGGTAGGATTGCTGTGTCTTTTGCTCTTGTCTATAAATATGCACAGATTTACAGGTAAGTCTGGTACTTCTACTTGCACTTAGGGTCACACTACACATACATGTCCAAGCATTTATATACACACCCCTCTGTGGGTTTTTCTATTTTCTTTCTAATTCTTTTGTTCTGTTTATTTTCTCTTAATCTCCAGGGCGGGAAGTGGAACAGAATTCTTCCTCCGTAAGCATGCGTGTTGTAGAGGCAATCTAAAATGCGGGAGCAAGGGCGCTAAGGTAACTCTATCTCTGTATTTATTACTAATGTAAAAGGAGAAACTTTTCGTTTTTCCTTTTGGGCCTCCCCGCCTCGGGGTGGGATACGGCCGGTGTGTTGAAAGAAAGATATATATGTATATATATATGTATGTATGTATGTATGTTTGTACATGTAGTTGTAGTGTGTTTGACCTAAGTGTAAGTAGAAAGTAGCAAGACGTACCTAAAATCTTGCATGTGTACGAGACTGAAAAAAAAAGGACACCAGCAATCCTACCATCATGTAAAACAATGACAGGCTTCCATTTTACACTCACTTGGACTTGACGGTGTACCTCCCGGGCGGTTGCTGTCTACCAACCTACTTTTGGCTCTAGGACTAATTTAGGTAAGACATATTATTTAGTAGCATTTGGTTTTTATAGCTTTAGAATAAAAAAATGTAATACACATGACAATGAAACACTAATTTACATAATCATTTGTATCCTTTTGTAAGTTGGAGACCTAAAAAAATACTGTTTGGCATTTTGGGGGGGGTCCCAGGAATGTAACCCTATGTACCCCCCCCCCCCCCCAAAGTTCTTCAAGTGTTGAACAGATTTTGTTTAACACCGAGTTTCAGGATAATTTGGGAGTTGACGTGCTCAGCGGATGGAAATTAGAAAAGAAAGAAGAGGGGATAATCACGAACTGATGAAGGAAAAGATAGTGGTGAGTGGTGCGTTGAGGTATAATGTGGCGACAACAAAAAACTGTTATCTATGGGGCAAAGAAGGGAATGTATGAAAGTATAGTGGTACAAAAAAACCACACTATATGGGTGTGACAGCTTGGGTAGTAAATGCTGCAGCAAGGAGGATGGCTACTGGGGAGGCAGTGATGTCCTGTCTAAAGGCAATAGTCGGGTAAATTTTATTTATTATTATATTTATTTATTATCACATGGCCGATTCCACCAAGGCAGGGTGGCCCGAAAGAAAAAAACTTACACAACAATCTACTCCATCACTGTCTTGCCAGAAGGGTGCTTTACACTAGTTTTTAAACTGCATCATTAAACACCCCCTCTTTCAGAGTGCAGGCACTGTACTTCCCATCTCCAGGACTCAAGTCCGGCCTTGATGGTTTCTGAACCCCTTCATAAATGTTACTTTGCTCACACTCCAACAGCACGTCAAGTATTAAAAACCATTTGTCTCCATTAACTCCTATCAAACACGCTCACGCATGCCTGCTGGAAGTCCAAGCCCCTCGCACACAAAACCTCCTTTACCCCCTCCCTCCAACCTTTCCTAGGACGACCCCTACCCCGCCTTCCTTCCACTACAGACTGATACACTCTTGAAGTCACTCTGTTTCGCTCCATTCTCTCTACATGTCCGAACCACCTCAACAACCCTTCCTCAGCCCTCTGGACAACAGTTTTGGATATTAGGAGAAGGTGTGGGGTTAATAAAAGTATTAGTCAGATGGCTGAGGAAGGGTTGTTGAGGTGGTTTGGTCATTTAGAAAGAATAGATCAAAGTAGAATGACATGGAGAGTGTATCCGTAAGGGAAGGAAGGCTGGGTAGGGGTTGTCCTCAAAAAGGTAGGAGGGAGGGGGTAAAGGAGGTTTTGTGGGCAAGGGGCTTGGACTTCCAGCAAGCGTGCATGAGCGTGTTGGATAGGAGTGAATGGAAACGAATGGTATTTGGGACCTGACGAGCTGATGGAGTGAGAGCTGGGTAATATTTAGCGAAGGGATTCAGGGCAACCTTCTCCATGGGGAAGTGGAACAGAATTCTTCCTCCATAAGCCATGTGTGGTTGTAAGAGGCGACTAAAATGCCGGGGGCAAGGGGCTAGTAACCCCTTCTCTTGTATAAATTACTAAATTTAAAAAGAGAAACTTTCATTTTTCTTATTTGGGTCACCTTGCCTTGGTGGGATATTGCCGTTTCGTTAAAAAAAAAAAATCAGGGAAACCGGCTATTTTTACATAGCTGGACTTGAGTCCTGGAAATGGGAAGTACAGTACAATGCCTGCACTTTAAAGGAGGGGTTTGGGATATTGGCAGTTTGGAGGGATATGCTGTGTATCTGTATATGTATATGCTTCTAAGCTGTTGTATTCCGAGTACCTCTGCAAAAACAATAATTATGTGTAAGTGAGGTGAAAGTGTTGTTGAATGATGATGAAAGTATTTTCTTTCTTTTTGGGTCACCCTGCTTCGGTGGGAAATGGCCGACTTGTTTAAAAAAAAAAAAACTATCGTGTTAATTGACAGTCTACTGTACATACCTATGATAAGTTTAATTGGTAAATTATGCACAAGTCAAAACATTTTTTCACTGATGTGAAGCGCTTCATGGCTAGACTTTGAAGAAATGCCTTCTTCACCACTTTTGTGATTTGGTGTCATCATTAAGCAAAATTAAGTTATTTTTGGGCCACAGTAAATAGCGGATAACTGAAACCATGGAAACAGGGGTTCTATTGTATAAAAAATATTCACTGTAGCTGGAGATTAAAACAAGTACACTGTACCTAAAGGTAGACCCAGTAGTTTCCTTTTTTAAAGCTTCGACAATTTTTGAGAGAAGCCCCTGAGGACCAGAACACATCTGTTCTATAGGGTACTCCACTGGTAGCTGATTTGCCAATCCAGACCCACCCAGAGGCTCTAATTTCAAAATACTTGAAGATTCCCTGCTAACAACACTATCTTCTTGGAGAACACTTGTAGGAGAACTGCTCTCTTGTGAACCACATCCATTACTGTTAGAGCCTTGGGTCACAGTCAGTTCCATACAAGTTGTGGTTGGGCTTGGGGTGTCTTCCAGAAGTACCTTAGCAGCACTGATGCTACAAACTTCACGGTACTCCACAGGTGTCAACATCAAGTACTGTGAATTAAATACAACAAGTGTCAACATCAATTCCTGTCAAAAAAAAAAAAAAAGTTTCAACATCAAGTACAGTACTACAAATTTAAAAACAATGACCCAACTATCATAAAAATTATGTAGAATTTTAATTTTTAATGTAAATAATGCTGAAACTATTCACAGCATCTCCTTTTAAAACATCACATGATTACAAGGATATACAATACACTAAATAGCTCTGGTTCAAAAATGTAGGGGAAACAGTGATAATAAAGAAGTGTAAAGTAATCAGTGACAATCACAAATGCAAGAGAAAATACTGACCATCAAAAGTGGAGGGGAAAGCAATGACAATAAAAAATCAAAATACAACTTTACACTGCTAACTGATGCCTTATAGCTAATGAATCACATGCAGAACAAATCAGTATAATACAGCACCAAAAGTCTCACTGTTGTAGTGCCAAATAAATTTTTAATAATTTAATACAGCAGTTTCATCAAATCACATGTCACTTCATATTTATGTACAAAAAGTTTCTTAAATTTCCTTAAACATCTCAACTTTAAAAACCTATCAGCAACACTTAAAAATTTAAAGTAAATTTCTGCTACCTGTGACTGATTTAAAAGGTTTTTCTACCTTAGTGACCAGGCCTAGGCCAGAATTCTATTGAATGCATGTTCAACCAGACTTCTGCTGTTGGCAGCCCATTGCCCCACATAGCCATAATAGCCTGGTTGATCTGACACCTATATTAAGTAATGATAATTTAACAACTAATTATTATCTACTATCTGCAAATGTAGGTAATAACAACTATTAAGTTTAACCCTTTCAGGGTCCGTCCCGTAGATCTACGGCTTTACGTTCAGGGTCCAAACCGTAGATCTACGCCATGAGCTCAGCTCACTCTGATAAACTGTGAGTGGTAAATTTGGGCCTAGATATGAGAGAATACATCTATGTGGTATGTGTGCACCACATAAAACAAATCCTGTAGCACACTGTGTATAATGAGAGAAAAAACTGAGACCATGATTTTTTATTAAAACAGCGACTTTGCAGTGTTTTTTGTATGATTTTTATAGTTGTATTTGCGATTTCTTGGTCTCATTTGATAGAATGGAAGACATATTACAGAAATAGAGATGATTTTGATTGGTTTTAGCACTGGAAATGGCTTGAAACTGAGCTCAAAGAAGTGGAAATGTTAAATTTTTCCCGATGTTCAAGAGTAAACAAACGACTTCACACGTCTAATACACGCCAGCTGGTGGGTCTAATATACATTCACAAATGTGGTGATATTTATACAATTATTACAATATTGCATAAGAGTAAATCTTCTATTTTTTGGTGTGAATAAAAATTCATTATGTGAATAAAAAATCAAAATGGAATTCATTTGTAAAGCCTCAATACGTAACTAATGAACAGAGGAAATGCTAGTTTAGTGCCAGGAATACCTACATTGTTTATTCTGGACCCTATTTTGAAATTGGAATATTTTGAACTTTGTGTTAAATTGGCCAAATTACCAATATCCGATCACTTTATTTTGTAGTTGAAACAGTTGGTGATTTCTTGTGCTCAATTGATAGAATAGAAGTAATACTAGTGAAATAGCGAAGAATTTGGTCGACTGGAATAATGTAATTGGCCTAAAATGGGAGTCAAAGTAGGCAAAATCGCCAATTCGTAAATATCGCTGACACATAAAAATTTGCGAAAGCATAATTTCGTCAATTTTCCATTAAATTTCGTACTTTTTGTTTTATTACCTTCACAAAAAGATTCTCTACTATTTCAAAAGAAAAAATAACAAATTTTTTTTTTGAAAATTCTTGGACACTGGGGCACCACTTCAGATTTTGGCCTTAGACCCTGAAAGGGTTAAAAACCAATATAATGCATAAATTGTTTTGTATGAAGGAATTAACCTGAGTAAAATATTTTATTCTTATTAAGCATATTTATGTAGCAAGCATGGTTAAGGAGTGTGATATAGTTTGTAATTTCTCTTATCCAGGCAAAAAAAAGCAAGTCTAAATCAAACTAGACCATCTGCAGGTACTCCAAGGTGACTAGTATCAAGTGTTATGTGATGGAATACAACAGCAGGCATTTATATAGCTAGCAAACTAATCAATATAATCACTCAGAAATAGGATTAGAGACAAAATTAATTTTGAAAATTCATTAGAATTTAAGGCAAATTCAAGAGTAGAATAACGTAAAAATAAATACTAATGAAATTAAGTTCAAGACCATTAATCTAATACTACATCATATTGAATGAACTGTAATATTAGGAAAGATGGGGTTTATTGCAGAGGATTTCGGCTGCAAATTAAACAGAATCTGATCACTTATACAGGAAACCCTGACCTACTTGTTTTTGAATACCCTCATGTATGTGATGAATGGTTTGAAAAACCGACAAGTTGAAGATTGAGACTCTTATGCAGCATATGGGAATCTTTATTCAGGAAACGTTTCGCCACACAGTGGCTTCATCAGTCCAATACAAAGAGGAAGGCGTAAGGAGAGGAGGAGTATGAGGTAATCAGTCCCTCAACCTGGAGTCGATGTGTTCAGTCCATCAATCTTGTAGAATGTACAGCATAGGGCCGTAGACGTGGCTTATATACTGTAGTGAGGTGAGGTGAAGCAGGCGGAGGCGGGGTCATAGTGGTACCATCCACTAATCGAAGTAGGTCTTCGTCCAAAGGTTGAACAAGTGTTGAAGAATTCTTTGTAACAAGATCCCATGATGCTGCAGTGTCTGACAGTTGTGATGAATGGTTTGAAAAACCGACAAGTTGAAGATTGAGACACTTATGCAGCATATGGGAATCTTTATTCAGGAAACGTTTCGCCACACAGTGGCTTCATCAGTCCAATACAAAGAGGAAGGCGTAAGGAGAGGAGGAGTATGAGGTAATCAGTCCTTCAACCTGGAGTCGATGTGTTCAGTCCATATGCTGCATAAGTGTCTCAATCTTCAACTTGTCAGTTTTTCAAACCATTCATCACAACTGTCAGACACTGCAGCATCATGGGATCTTGTTACAAAGAATTCTTCAACACTTGTTCAACCTTTGGATGAAGACCTACTTCGACTAGTGGATGGTACCACTATGACCCCGCCTCCGCCTGCTTCACCTCACCTCACTACAGTATATAAGCCACGTCTACGGCCCTATGCTGTACATTCTACAAGATTGATGGACTGAACACATTGACTCCAGGTTGAGGGACTGATTACCTCATACTCCTCCTCTCCTTACGCCTTCCTCTTTGTATTGGACTGATGAAGCCACTGTGTGGCGAAACATTTCCTGAATAAAGATTCCCATATGCTGCTAAAGATTCCCATATGCTGCATAAGTGTCTCAATCTTCTACCCTCATGTAATTGGAATCAGAATTTCAGGGAGCAGGTTTTACCATATGCTTACTGCTATTTAGTTAGAACATACTCAAAGGAGAACTCGAGAATTTTTTTACTACATCCCATTACATACTCACATCTTTCGGTCAACTTTTCTGCCTTACAGCTTGACCAAACCCCATCATTTTTTAATGCTAATGTGCTTGCAAAATGCAAAAGAGAATATCTGAACAGTATGTTTGTACGTAAGAGCCTTTACTTGTAAGGTTCCAAATTATGTGGTTTCACACTTCTGACAGTGGTATTTTGGAACCAACTAATTGCTTATGAACAATGATTTGCTCTTCCAACATAGGGTTACTTATTTATTATTTTTTTAAGTATGAATATATTTCTCTGTTCATTGTTTTTACCATATGAATTCAAACTTTGTTGATGTTTATTTAATGCATGTATAGAGAACTCAGATTTGTTGGTAAAGAATGGTTAACAATTAAATATTTAATATTTACATTGTTAGTACAACAGTAGTTGGTAGTGGAGGACAGGGGTGGGGGGTTGGCAAGACAGGGAGGTTGGTGGTTTGGCTGTTGGCCAGGTGGGAGCCCCTTTCCCCACTCAGCACTGCTAGCTGTGTCATGGATGTGCTCAATAAACAGATGGACTAAAATGCAATACCATGTGAGAACACTTTCCCTAATGTTAAACACCTACTCTCATACCCACCCTCAACCACCCACTAACCTATCCACCCACCACCTTCACACCTACTCTGCCCACCCTCACACCACCCATCATCACACACTACCCACCATCATACTCACACCACCCATCATTGCATCCACTCCACTCATCTTCACACCCATCCTCTCTCACACTAATCCCCTCTCATCAATTTGTAAGTGAAAATGAACAGTATTGTATGCAAAATATTCTTTGCAAAAAATTAATTGAAATTAGATATGCAGAATATTATGGTTTGGGAATGCATTATTTTACACTGTTTCTTACAGAAAAATCTTTAGTAGATTCTCTGGGTACCACAGAATCTACTTACTATTAATTTTCTGAAATGAATTAACATCATGAGTTAGACCCCTACAGTACTGATGGCTTACTGCCAACTCTTACAGAATAAACAAGGCATGGAAAGGGATTTGCAGGGTTAAACCACTCATTCTCCCAGCCCAGAAAGTATCACCATCAACTAGGGGTGTGCCAAAGCATGAGTATAGATGGGACTGGCTATTTTTTTATGGTATCAGTGGGTATTGGTTAATTTTGAAGGCATTATAAGCCTAAAACAGAGTATCAGAATTGGCTAATATTTGCTGCTATCCCATCCCTACTATTGACTGTTATGGATATTGTTGCATGCTGTCTTTGATGGAATAAACTATTTTTGGCCTCTGCTGCTGAAGTTTTGATATATTTTTATCCTATGTAGTAACTGTTGCTCTGTTTGATGCTGCTGCTGAGGTTATGTTACACCTATGACTAGTTACTGGAGAGGGTGTGGGCATGGCACATTAAATTTTTATGGTCACTGTTTCTGTCCTAGAACACTGTGGCTTTTCTCTCTCAAAATGCATACCACTGCTGACCAGCCTTGATATGCTCATAACTGTCTCTATCAGGCTTAGTGCTAGGCATTTTCAGACTGACAATCTACGATATCTCAAAGGGTCAGTACATTTCAGAATTCTTTGTTGTGGTTACTGTGCTGTCTGTGGTCACTGATGTGGTCCTGTTGCATCTAAGGTTGTTAGGGGTTATGTATCCTGGGCACTGTGTCAACTACTCTAAGATCACATAGCTTTTCAATCCCCTAGCAATGTGTAGAACCTTCCTTGAAATTTAAATTCTGAATAACACTACAGTACAGGTAGGCTTGCTTGCTTTCTTTCCAAAAAACAGCAAAAAGAAATCCAACAATTAAGAAACAGGAAAGAAAAGCACTGCTGAAACACAAAACTTACTCTGTATTCTGATTGGTCACAAAAGCTATGAACTAGTCTCAGGAACTGTATCTTGAGTGCTACTTCTGGGCTGCATTCACATGAACTCAAGTGACCCGGCACTCTTATTCGCTCCTGGTACCTGTGTGTATAGCCAAAGACATTTATAAGCCAGACTCAAGACCCCAACATTTTATGAATTAGTTCACAGTAACATTAATTTTTTTTCAATGAACCAGCCGTATCCTACCGAGGCAGGTGACCTAAAAAGTTTTTCTTTTTAAATTTAGTAATTTATAGAGGACAAGGGGTTACTAGCCCCTATACTGTACTGTACTGTACTGACCAATTTCTGTTTTCAAATGGTGTTATAAGTATTATCCCAGAAACATGATGACACCAGAATAATATACTTTAACACCCATATACACCAAGTGGAGGCATTCTTACTTACGTTTCACACTTCCAAATAAAAAGATCAAAAAGTTGAGAAAGGCGGGGAATGAGCCGAAGTCTTGCTAGTTGTGTTTGCACATCTTTCCGCTGTTTACCAAGAAGCAGAAGTCCTAAAACATAAACACTCTCAACACGCTGCAACATTGGGCTGGTTAAGGCTTCTAGTTGACTTGCAATAGCTTGGGGTTGTATTCTATCCATCAATTCTGTCAAAATCAAGTGTAGAATGCATCAGTATGTAGGCAATTAACTTAACAAAAGAAACTGACTACTACTGCAGTACTGTCAGAGCTCTGTTTTTATAAACGTTCTTTTCTCAAAGGAGGAGCCTCTTGTATAATGATATGATACTTAGCTGCCTTTTAAAATACTTCAAATATATTCTGATTATACATGCCTACACAGTTTCCAATAAGCACTCGTATTTTTTTTTTTAACAAACCAGCTACATCCCACCAAGGCAGGTGACCCAAAAATAAAAATCTAAGTTTTTCTTTTTAAATTTAGTAATTTATACAGGAGAAGGGGTTACTAGCCCCTTGCTCCTAGCATTTTAGTTGCCTCTTACAACATGCATGGCTTAAGGAGGAAGAATTCTGTCCCACTTGCCCGTGGAGATTAGAGGAAATAAAGAACAAAAACTATTAAGAAAATAGAAGAAAACTCAAATGGGTATGCATATATATGCATGTATATGCATATATGCCATGTCCACGCTTGCAGTGAGCAACCGCTGTAGCAGTTTTCTCGAGCAGCAGGGGAGAGGGAGGCAAAAAAGGCAAGAAAGGTGAAGAGAGTGGTGAGAGAGTGCAAAAGGAGAGCAGATGATAGAGTGGGAGAGGCACTGTCAAAAAATTTTAATGAAAATAAGAAAAAATTTTGGAGTGAGTTAAACAAGTTAAGAAAGCCAAGGGAAAGTATGGATTTGTAAGTTACAAACAGAGTAGGGGAGTTAGTAGATGGGGAGAGGGAGGTATTAGGTAGATGGCAAGAATATTTTGAGGAACTTTTAAATGTTGAGGAAGAAAGGGAGGCGGTAATTTCATGCACTGGCCAGGGAGGTATACCATCTTTTAGGAGTGAAGAAGAGCAGAATGTAAGTGTGATGGAGGCACGTGAGGCATTACGTAGAATGAAAGGGGGTAAAGCAGCTGGAACTGATGGGATCATGACAGAAATGTTAAAAGCAGGGGGGGATATAGTGTTGGAGTGGTTGGTACTTTTGTTTAAGAAATGTATGAAAGAGGGGAAGGTACCAAGGGATTGGCGGAGAGCATGTATAATCCCTTTATATAAAGGGAAAGGGGACAAAAGAGATTGTAAAAATTATAGAGGAATAAGTTTACTGAGTATACCAGGAAAAGTATACGGTAGGGTTATAATTGAAAGAATTAGAGGTAACACAGAATGTAGGATTGCGGATGAGCAGGGAGGCTTCAGAGTGGGTAGGGGAGGTGTAGATCAAGTGTTTACATTGAAGCATATATGTGAACAGTATTTAGATAAAGGTAGGGAAGTTTTTATTGCATTTATGGATTTAGAAAAGGCATATGATAGAGTGGATAGAGGAGCAATGTGGCAGATATTGCAAGTATATGGAATAGGTGGTAAGTTACTAAATGCTGTTAAGAGTTTTTATGAGGATAGTGAGGCTCAGGTTAGGGTGTGTAGAAGAGAGGGAGAATACTTCCCGGTAAAAGTAGGTCTTAGAAAGGGATGTGTAATGTCACCATGGTTGTTTAATATATTTATAGAAGGGGTTGTAAAAGAAGTAAATGCTAGGGTGTTTGGGAGAGGGGTGGGATTAAATTATGGGGAATCAAATTCAAAATGGGAATTGACACAGTTACTTTTTGCTGATGATACTGTGCTTATGGGAGATTCTAAAGAAAAATTGCAAAGGTTAGTGGATGAGTTTGGGAATGTGTGTAAAGGTAGAAAGTTGAAAGTGAACATAGAAAAGAGTAAGGTGATGAGGGTATCAAATGATTTAGATAAAGAAAAATTGGATATCAAATTGGGGAGGAGGAGCATGGAAGAAGTAAATGTTTTCAGATACTTGGGAGTTGACGTGTCGGAGGATGGATTTATGAAGGATGAGGTTAATCATAGAATTGATGATGGAAAAAAGGTGATTGGTGCATTGAGGTATGTGTGGAGTCAAAAAATGCTATCTATGGAGGAAAAGAAGGGAATGTATGAAAGTATAGTGGTACCAACACTCTTATATGGATGTGAAGCTTGGGTGGTAAATGCAGCAGCGAGGAGACGGTTGGAGGCAGTGGAGATGTCCTGTCTAAGGGCAATGTGTGGTGTAAATATTATGCAGAAAATTCGGAGTGTGGAAATTAGGAGAAGGTGTGGAGTTAATAAAAGCATTAGTCAGAGGGCAGAAGAGGGGTTGTTGAGGTGGTTTGGTCATTTAGAGAGAATGGATCAAAGTAGAATGACATGGAAAGCATATAAATCTATAGGGGAAGGAAGGAGGGGTAGGGGTCATCCTCGAAAGGGTTGGAGAGAGGGGGTAAAGGAGGTTTTGTGGGCGAGGGGCTTGGACTTCCAGCAAGCGTGCGTGAGCGTGTTAGATAGGAGTGAATGGAGACAAATGATACTTGGGACCTGACGATCTGTTGGAGTGTGAGCAGGGTAATATTTAGTGAAGGGATTCAGGGAAACCGGTTTTCATATAGTCGGACTTGAGTCCTGGAAATGGGAAGTACAATGCCTGCACTTTAAAGGAGGGGTTTGGGATATTGGCAGTTTGGAGGGATATGTTGTGTATCTTTATACGTATATGCTTCTAAACTGTTATATTCTGAGCACCTCTGCAAAAACAGTGAAAATGTGTGAGTGTGGTGAAAGTGTTGAATGATGATGAAAGCATTTTCTTTTTGGGGATTTTCTTTCTTTTTTGGGTGACCCTGCCTCGGTGGGAGATGGCCGACTTGTTGAAAAAAAAAAAATGCATATATGGAGAAGAGAGAAGTGTAAAGGAGAGAGGTTTTGGGAATTGTTGACTGAGTGTGTGGGGAGTCTTGAGCCAAGTGTGAGAGTACTTGTGGTTGGGGATTTCAATGCTAAAGTGGGTCAAAATGTTGTGGAGGGAGTAGTAGGTAAATTTGGGGTGCCAGGGGAAAATGAAAATGGGGAGCCTTTAATTGAGCTATGTATAGAAAGAGGTTTGGTAATACATATTTTATGAAAAAGAGGATAAATAAATATACAAGGTATGATATAGCACGTAATGAAAGTAGTTTGTTAGATTATATATTGATGGATAAAAGGTTGATGGGTAGGCTTCAGGATGTACATGCTTATAGATGGGCAACTGATATATCGGATTATTATTTAGTTGTAGCTACAGTTAGAGTAAGAGGTAGATGGGACAAAAGGAAAATGGCAACAAGAAGTAAGAGAGAGGTGAAAGTGTATAAACTAAGGGATGAAGAAGTTCGGGTGAGATATAAGAAACTATTGGCAGAGAGGTGGGCTGGTGCAAGTATGAGTAGTTGAAGAGGGGTGGAACAGTTTTAAAAATGCAGTACTAGAATGTGGGGCAGAAGTTTGTGGCTATAGGAGGGTGGGTGCAGGAGGAAAGAGGAGTGATTGGTGGAATGATGAAGTAAAGGGTGTGATAAAAGAGAAAAAGGTAGCTCACGAGAGGTTTTACAAAACAGAAGTGTTATAAGAAGAGCAGAGTATATGGAGAGCAAAAGTAAGGTGAAGAGAGTGGCGAGAGAGTGTAAAAGGAGAGCAGATGATAAAGCGGTAGAGGTACTGTCAAGAAATTTTGATGAAAATAAGAAAAAATTTTAGATTGAGATAAACAAGTCAAGAATGCCTAGGGAATGAATGGATTTGTCAGTTAAAAACAGAGTAGAGGAGTTAGTAGATGGGGAGACGGAGGTATTGGGTAGATGGCGGGAATATTTTGAGGAACTTTTAAATGTCAACGAAGAAAGGGAGGAGGTAATTTCATGCACTGGACAGGGAGGTATACCATCTTTCAGGAGTGAAGAAGAGCAGGATGTGAGCGTGGGGAGGTGTGTGAGGCATTACGTAGAATGAAAGGGGGTAAAGCAGTTGGAACTGATGGGATCATAACAGAAATGTTAAAAGCAGGGGGGGGGATATAGTGTTGGAGTGGTTGGCATTTTTGCTTAATATATGTATGAAAGAGAGGAAGGTACCCAGGGATTGGCAGAGAGCATGTATAATTCCTTTATATACAGGGAAGGGGGACAAAAGAGATTGTAAAAATTATAGAGGAATAAGTTTACTGAGTATACCAGGAAAAGTGTATGGTAGGGTTATTATTGAAAGAATTAGAGGTAAGACAGAATGCAGGATTGCAGATGAGCAAGGAGGTTTTAGAGTGGGTAGGGGATGTGTAGATCAAGTGTTTACATTGAAGCATATATGTGAACAGTATTTAGATAAAGGTAGGGAAGTTTTCATTGCATTTAAGGATTTAGAAAAGGTATATGACGGAGTGGATAGGGGAGCAATGTGGCAGATGTTGCAAGTATGGAATAGGTAGTAAGTTAATAAACGTTGTAAAGAGTTTTTATGAGGATAGTGAGGCTCAAGTTAGGGTGTGTAGAAGAGAGGGAGACTACTTCCCGGTAAAGGTGGGTCTTAGACAGGGATGTGTAATGTCACCATGGTTGTTTAATATATTTATAGATTGGGTTGTAAAAGAAGTAAATGCCAGGGTGTTGGGGAGAGGGGTGGGATTAAATTATGGGGAATCAAATACAAAATGGGAGTTGACACAGTTACTTTTTGCTGATGATACTGTGTTTATGGGAGATTCTAAAGAAAAGTTGCAAAGGTTAGTGGATGAGTTTGGGAGTGTGTGTAAAGGTAGAAAGTTTAAAGTGAACATAGAAAAGAGTAAGGTGATGAGGGTATCAAATGATTTAGATAAAGAAAAATTGGATATCAAATTGGAGAGGAGTATGGAAGAAGTGAATGTTTTCAGATATTTGGGAGTTGACGTGTCAGCGGATGGATATATGAAGGATGAGGTTAACCACAGAATTGATGAAGGAAAAAAGGTGAGTGGTAGAGACAAAAAACATCATTATCTATGAAGGCAAAGAAGGGAATGCATGAAAGTATAGTGGTACCAACACTCTTATATTCTTATATGGGTGTGAAGCTTGGGTTGTAAATGCTGCAGTGAAGAGGCAGTGATGTCCTG